AAAAAAAAAAAAAGCATAAAAGCAGGCAGCCAAGCGCAGCAGCAGCAACTGCGTTTGGAGATTGCAGTTTGAACTGGTTTCACCTGAGCCCACGCCAAGGAGGTGTAGCGAGCGAGGAAGAGGTAGATAGATAGCGAGAGGCAGGGAGAGAAAGAGAGGTCGCTAGATCTAGAGGACGAGCGGGACCGGAATACACCAATGAACATATTTATTGACATTGGCATGGAATTTAAATGGCCGCGACAGTTTCGCATTGAACGGTTGCCAAACTGTCGGGCGAAAGTCGTACAGCAGCGGCCAAGTAAATAATTCAACCTGGACAGAAATAAGTGTATAATTTTTTAAAGAAATAATACGTAATTTAATTTTAAATTTTAATATTTAATAGGCACAAAATAACCATTAAACTTGCTTTTATGAGTTTATTATTTACTCAAAACACACAATTTTTTTCTCTCAAATTTTCTCCCTTTTTTTGGAACAGTGTAATCCCCTGTGTGTGCTTTGCGTGTGGTGGCAAAGTTTGCCAAGTGCCTTTTGGGCTGGTCAAAGTATTAGCAAAGTTATTTGCCCGCAACGGGCCAAGCGACCGCAACAGCAGCAACATAAGGCGGCAGCAGCAGCATCAAAAGCAGCAACAGCAACAGCAGCAACAACAAAAGGCAAGTGCAACACACACTGCAATTAACTTTGCGGTCAACAGCCACCCACCGGCAAGCTTTGCCTTTGTGTGTGCATATTTCTGCGAGTGTATTTTGCGAGTGTGTGTGTGTGTGAAAGAAGAAGCTGCATCGGTGCCAGTGGCTTTGGTGCTGCTGATGCTGCGGTTGCCTTTGCAGTTGCAGATGCTGCTGCTGCTGATGATGTTGCTGCCGTCGTCTGTGATTAAAGGCCAAATGACAACAGCAACAAGCAGCTGAAAACGAGCAGTAGACTGGCAAATAGGGAAGGACAACACCGAATAATAAGTGCTCTTTATAGGGAATAAAATAAACATTATAAACTGAATTGATAAACTAATACAAGAAATGACAGTAAAATAAAACAAAATAAATAAAGTAAAATTTATATATATGATATTGCAGGTAAATATATAAAACAAATGAAGTATTCCTTTGTGTTTCCTTAAAATTCCCAAGTACGAATTCAGTCAGCAAAATTAGTTGTTCTCTAGCTTATTTTACATAGGAAACTCTACGAATTTTAGCGCCTAACCCTGCTTCTTATATGCATATATCTTTTAAAAAAATATATATATGTATATTATATATATATATATATATATTTCACTAAAGAGTATTCTTAAGTCGCCTATCCAGTTACATTGTCGTGGTCGTCAACTGCAATGCTTTTCGCTGGCTGTGCGTTGCATTGCATTTCATTGCATTGAAATGGGTGTCACTCTGTAACTAGCACATTCGTGATGATGATAATGCATAATAATCGCCATGATGATGCCGATGATGATTGTGAACATAATGATGGTTATGATGAGGCAAGCGACTCCTTCAAACTGCGGCAGCGGCAACTTTGGAGCTGCATACTGCAGCGGCAACATCTACAGCAGCACCAACAGTGAGCCAGCCAGGCAGCGCCAGTAAGCGTCATATTGAAACTGGAATTTGAATCCGGTTGCCGGTTGTTAAGGTCCCCCTCCCCTCCTCCTGCTTAGAGCCCACCCTCTCCCTAGCTACCCTAGCCTAGCCTAGCCCGTTTTCCCTGAAAATGTTGTGTGTGTTTGTGAGCCATGTTTATTAAATGCCATTAAAGCCATTTCTTCTGCCTTTGGCTTTTGCACTTTGCGAGTGGGAATCCGCCAAGGGGCAGGGGATTTCCCCTAAAGATAGGGTGTGCAGAGAGGAGGGTTGCGGAAGTGTGTGCGTCACACTGTGAGAGACTTGCATTGTCAGCAACAACAACAACAACAACAAACACACACTGCTCAAATGTCAAAAGGTAAATCAGGGAACAACATCAACACAGCAACAAAGCGCAATCAGCAAATTGCATTAAATGACTTTGTATTGCAATTGCACAGTACCCATACCCCTCTCACTACTTACATACATACATATAAAAAAATATATATCTCAGATTTATCAGATAGAGAGAACGAGAGAGAGAGAGGGAGTTTATAGAGCTACTAGGGGTACGGTTCGTCATGCTTGTCACATGACTTTTGCTCAGAGTCCAGGGTCCACAAACGCCTGGACATGCTTGTTTATATCCAATTAACATAACTCATCAAGGCACAGGGTACAGGAGAAACCCACTAAAGCAGACAGTTTACTAGATTATTTATATATTATTTAAAGGGTTTCTAATAGAATCTTAAAACAAGAAATGAAGCTAACTTCGGCACGCCGACGTTTGTATACCCTTGCAGATATTTTACCTATACTTATTATGTTTACAGTTTGACATTCCCAGCTTTACATTTTCTATACAATTACCGATCGTTTCTATGGCGGCTATATGATATAGTCGTCTGATTCGGCCCGTTCCGACATATATAGCAGTGAGAGTATATAGAAAACTATATGCAAAGTTTCATTCAGATAGCTTTAAAACTGAGGGACTTGTTTGCGTAGAAACGGACAGACGGACGGACAGATGGACATGGCTAGATCGACTCGGCTGTTGATGCTGATCAAGAATATACTGTATAGGGTCGGAAAGGCCTCCTTCACTGCGTTGCAAACTTTTTACTGAAATTATAGAGACCTTTAATTCATTTTACTTTTACATTTTTCATATTTGCACTTTTTACTGTCTGTTGTTGTGTTGCTTTGAAAGGGATTATTCTGCCATTTCACTAATCCGCAGGACTTAGCCAACTTCCAACATAGCTATGAGATGAGGCTTAAAACAGATTACTCAATGGGGACTGGACATTTACCAAGCTTTTCTTGTTAAACACCCATAACTTTTTGATGTTAGGGTTTTTTTATTCACATTATATATACTTTTATATAATTAAAAAAAAAAATAGTAAGTATTTTGTTTTATATAAACTTGTTAGTTTATAAATTGCCTTTAATTAGCTTTAACTTTCAGCTTTTTTGCTCATCAGGTATCTCATCTTATGCTTTTTTCTTTCTACGATTTCCCTAGGGAAATCCCTCTCCCATCTCTGACAATTTTTCATTTGCTTTAATAAGCAATTTGATCGCTTGTCTTGACATTTACTTTTGAAACATTTCTCTCTTTTTTTTCCCCCTACACACAATAAATAGTATAGTTGCCCATGAAATTACGCCCTGACCTCCTCCACCAGCTCTTCTCTACCCATGTTGCCATGGCATTTCGTACCGCCAGCATCAAGGGCAGAAAATCTGAAAAATCTGTGGCGCACATTAAAACGTTTCACTTAATTAAAATCAACGACAACAACTGCAGAATGACCGCCCCCATATATTAAGTATTCCCCACCATACAGGCGCTAATAGCCTGGACTTACAGAAATATATACATATACATTTATGGCTGTGTGTGTATGTACTATACAGCAGCATGTGAAAATATAGTAAGAATCCAGAGCACTGCCAAAGACGTGGCTGGAGGAGAGCTTCCAGCACATTTTTTTTGGTTTTTTTTTTTTTTTGTTACTTTGTGTGACTAACGACTTGAAATTGCGCTTATTAAGACTTCCTGATTCATAATTTCTGGCAGCACTAACAGCAACAACAATAATCACACTACAAGCAAGTAGGAATATGTGGGGTAAAATGATAGGGACTAGGGGTTACCCTAGGGTATTTTTTGTATTATTATTTTTCATATAAGAAAATAAGAGAGGATTTTTATGTCAAAAATATATGTATATAACTTTAATTTTCACATTTTGAGATAAAATTGAGAGCTGGTCACATTTTTTTTAAGAAAATTTATCTTCTTTTCTTAAAAAAAAATAAAAAAAAAAAAAAAAAAATAAATAAATAATTTTTCATTGCAGTTAGTCTTTTTCTAATAATTTATGGTCTTCTTCTTATAAAAAATTTATTATATAAAGTATTCACATATATATAACTTGTAATTGATGAAAGACAGCCTGAAATAAAACCTGGTCACACTTTCTTAAAAACAAGGAGTACGATTATTTAAATAAATTTTCGTCTTTGTCACTGGTATTTTTCAAAACTCTTTAAAGTTTAGTTTTAAACTAAATAAAATATTTTATTAACCAAGTTTTCGCAAACGAAAATTCCTCTCTGATACCCTGTATTTTCGCTGGCACTAGTAGAAATCAAAAGCCAACAACTTGGCGCACTTTTGCGCCATCGACTTGCCGCGAAGAATTTGCGGGAAATGCGGCGAGGGATTTGTTTTTTTCTCGCCCTCCATTATGACCTCCCTCCAAACCCTCCCCCTAACTTGTTATTTTCCCCCCAGTTCGGTTTTTTTTTTAACAATTTTTTTGCGAGCTCCTACTGTTGTTGCTTTGTTTTTTGTCTGGCTTTTGTTTTTGGTCTGTAACGATTTTTGTAATTTTATTAATTTTTTGTACTGAATCTTGGTCGCTTTTTTCTCTGTCTGTGCTTGGCGGACCTTGCCTGGGCTGCTTTCTTTCGATTGTCTGCCCGGGGCGTTCATAATTTTTGTAGAAATTGAGAGGGACGAGAGGAAATGTTGGTCATGCTGCGGGCAAGATTTTCAAGTGACACGAACAGTTACCGCCGCACACACACGTACTGGGGGAAATTATGTGGGAGGGAGGCTGCCTCACTGACTGACGGATAAAAGTGACGGACAGACGGACAGACAACGTACGCTTTGTGCATTAATTTGCCGGCATAAAGTGCTAATCAATATGTGAGGGTGGGAGGTTTGGAAAAAGTGACAAAGATCTCCTAATTTATAACTCAAACATGTCAAGGGATTTTAATGGGGAGTTCCTAGAGTCAATGACACTTTCGAGGAGAGGGCTTAATCTCTCTGCTAAACATTTGCATTAATTAAAATTACAAGATGTATCAGTTTCTTGAGCTTTTACAACTCACCTGGTGATCCATGACGATTGCGCGGTCCTTCGGTTCGCACGGCGAGCAGGGTTTCCAGGTTGCTTAGGGCCACTAGGGCCAGCAGCAGCAGCGCCAGGGTTGTCACCTGGCCGCGTCCAGTGTGCTGTGAGTGCTGCTGCTGTGGATGCTGGTGGTGGTGGCGTTGATGCTTAGGCTGATGATGATGTTGATTATGTTGCGTAGGGCGGCGGCTCACTGTGGCATTTATTGACGAGCAGGAGGACTCCAGGTGCTGCTGCTCCTCCAGGGGATCCAAGTGGTATTCTGGCTTGTCCGCTGTATGCTCATCCTCGACAGGGCTCAGCGGAAGCGGCGGCGGTCGCCAGCGGGAACGCATTTTGGCCTTGTTGGGCGGCTTGCGACCAAATCCGAATCCAATGCCCACGGGCGTCGGATTCATCCTGGTTCGTTGGCGGCTCGTCCTCCGCTCCTTATGACCGGCCTATGTTTCTTGTTGTTTGTTTTGTTTTTTTGATATTTTTTGTGGGTTTCTGGTTTATGGAGTCCTTGGTTTTGAAGGGTGGCGAACCCAAAAAAAAAAAAAACACTGCGATTTCTTTTTATATCTCCTTATTTATATATATATATTTTGTGTCGGCGGACGGCGGCGGCTGCTTTAATGAAATAAGCGAAAAATTAACGCGTTTAATTTTTTAATAAATCGTAGGCGTGGCCGTAGGCACTTCAAAGAGCAATTAATTAAATTTAAAAATTCCGTTTGCTCGAACTTTTGTAATTTTTTTTTTTGCTTATGCTTGGAATATAACCATCTCTTTCGCTCCCTCTCTCGCTCTTTCTTGCACGGTCTGTCCCTATCTTTTTAACACTTTTTACAATAATTGAAAAACTTTTTTCGGCTGCTTTATGTGAACTTTTGCCTTCGGCGTCTTTAAACTTTTCTCCTTTGCCCGCGATTTTCTTTTTTTTTTTTTTTTTTTTGTATTATTTTCTGTATTTTTTCATGTATTTCCTTTTTTTTTCGTTGTATTTTCAGACACTTGAAAAATAAAAATTAATATGGTGCAAGGGAGATGGCAGCCTGCTGATTGTTGCTAGCTCCCTCGTTTGATAGGGAAATTGCATGTCCTGTGGAGTTTCCACTGCAGCCCTGCAAGAAGTAGAAAAAAGCAAAAGGAAAATAAGAAAATGAGAAAATAAGTAGGCAAAAGTTAGCAAAATGTTTTCCCAGAGTATTTTCCAATTATTAAATGCTAGGCGATTAGTTGGTAGAGAGTTTGCTTTTCTCTGTTTAATTATTCACTGTTATTTATGTATTGGTTTTGTATTAATTATTTACTATTATTCATTATTTTCTATTTACTCTTACTTCCTCAATATATTTACCATTTTTTAATAAATTTTACTTAGTTTTCTTAATAAACAATTATTTAACATTTCATAGATTCCATTAAATTAGGGAACAAAACCATACTAAAAGCTGCATGCTTTTATAAAAGTTGATATGAAAAGGTATTTAAGGTATTAAAAAGATGAGCAACAATCACATACAATAGCAATAAAAATAATAATAATCGAGAGGTTAAGCGTATGGACGCAAGTGGAAAATCACGCACATCGTCTCGATGGAAAGTGGAAAAAAGGCAACGACGACGAGGAGAAGGGAAGCCTCTTCCTCCCCCCATTCTGCACCACAATAACAATAAGTGGGAGGTGTGGGTGGTGGGTCGCTTTGAGAGGGCGGTGGGCGGTGGGTCATGCGGTTAGGTCAGATTGAGGAGTAGGCCCGACGACGACGACGACGACGAGCCAACAAAAGAAATTGCTAATGTGCGCAAATAAAAATGGCACAAAATAGACACATACAGAGGCACTCTCACACACACACACACACACACTCAAACACACACACATGCCTGTGGCAGACAATTGAAATTGAAAATCAGTGAAACCTGTTTTCACACACAAAAGCTCACGCACGCCAGCCAAGCTTAGGCGCACAAAATTGCAAAAAGAAACAGAAAAAATAGAAAAAACAGAAAAAAAAATACTGAAAACAAAAAACAAAAAGGAAAATTGCAATAGCAACAAAAACAACAACAACAAAATGAGAAAATAGCAAATAGAAAATGGAAAACAAAAGAGGAAAGCCCAATGCAAAAGGCAGCCAGCAAAACTTGTCAAAGATGAAATGCACTCAAAACCTGGTAAAAAAAATCAAACAAAATTTTAAAAAGGAAAAAAAAAATAACTAAAAAAAAACAGGCATAAAATTGAATAAATTGAAAACGTAATATTAAAAATAGCGAATTTATTTTAAAGCTTACATAAACGAAAGATATTATTTAGATTAACAAATAAATTAAGTATTTAAGAAATTATATTATATATTTCAATTAAACAACAAAATTTTGCGCCAAGAACAACTTAATATTTACTTGAAATTTCTACTAAAGAAACACTTGTCATCAAGTCCTGCCTTAGAAAATTTGTTAACCTTGAAAGTCCCTCAAAAAAAAAAATACAGAATAAGGTTTCACAAAAATCTCCACATTGGCCAGCTTATCATCAACATGGACATCTAGCCCAGGGCCCATAGTCATCTGCGACACATTTTGCCGCGAAAATGAAAAGTTACGCGTGTCACCCAGCAGACAAAGAGCGGACTAAATGTGGATGGATCCGAAAAATAAATGTCTTCTTATAATATTAAATACGGAAAAAGAATTGGACTTTTCGCATTTGTTTCGCTAAATGCTCAAAAGCGGGCGCGAAAACGGTCGAACAGCGGACAAGTATCGCAAATTCTCAAGATTATACCCGATAATGATGTCGTAAAAGGTCCGCAATCGAAAAATATAGAATTTTCTGCCACAAAACCCATGACAGGTGATTAACTTTATTATCGTTTATGAGCCGGAATCGGACGTTTTGTCCGCTTGAAACACGCAAAACTATCGTTTTCATTATCATAAACGAACGTTTTTGTCTACAGGGCAGTAGAAACTCTGGAGTGTGTAGTGGTGGAGTGGGGTGGCAGGGGGGACTTTTCAGGTGGTGGTGGTGGGTGGTTTTTTCGACCAGGCAGTGCACACCTGTCCGTTTTCATTACGCGGCAACCAAGAAATTGCCAAAGCCATTTTCGAAAATGGCCACAAACACAGGTGCAGAGGGGAGGAAGTGACAGAGGCTAGTGATGTGCCCATGTCACTGATGACAAAAGTTATGGAAATTATTGAAGCTTTACAAATTTATGAAGGAAATGAGGCTTATCAATATAAATATGAAAGGGGGATATAGGTAAATTAAAATAAATATTGAATTAGAAATCTTAAGGGTTCAATTTAATACCTGGCGACCGTGACATGACTCAGGTTTATTCAATAGACTTTTAGTTGAATTTTTAAAGCAACTAAATATATTTTTATTATTATAATATATACATAAATATATCATAATATTATATTTATATCAAAACCCTGTTAATATATTCCTAATTTTTGAGCATCTCTAGATGGGGCACTAGGACGTCGTCATAACTTGAAATTGAAATGGAAGAGGGGCTGTGGCGAGGCGGCATTTTGCCTAACGATCCAATCCGGCTCCCCCAGAAAATCATTTCGGATCTGGATTTATTGCACTCCCCAACCTCCCCCCTTCTCCCCGCTCAGAAACCAGAATCCCGCTAATGTTCGCGCTGAAAAGCTCTCAGTGAAAATTCAAAACCAAAAAAAAAAAAACAAGCAAGGAACGCAAAATCAGGAAATATCTGGAGAGAGAGGGGGAGGCCGCCATAAGATATCCGAAGACGGCACCGCAAAATGTTTTTGGCCAATTGGCCACACGCGGCCTGGGCATCAGGTGCGCATTATGTCAGGAATATGAAATATGATAACAAAAAAAAGAAAGAAGCAAAATATAAATAAAAATTTACAACAATCGAAAGGAGAGGCGGCAAGGCAGAAGAAGGCCGCAGACAAGCCAATAATAAATAAAAATAATACCATAAAATATACTCCAAAGTGGAGAAAAGTTGCCAACAACAAGAAAAAATATATAAAAAAGGGAAAGGGATTCCCAATTGAAATATTTAAATTTTGTTTTACATTAAGGAACAGTATTTATTGAGCTTCAAAGGGGGGGTATGGAGGAGGACTTCTGACAAAGAAATAAAGCGGAAAATAAATGACAAATTGAAGAAGAGCCGAGGGGAAACCGTTTTGGTCCTGGGAATTGGTTTACATAAAATGGAGTTTGGCTTTAAGGAAATGGGGGAAAAAATAGGTGTACGAAGGGTGCGGTAATTCGATAAGGAATACAAAATTTAAGAGCAAGCGTATCATCACAATTTACTTAAAAAATAATAAACAGAAAATAATACTTCTTAATTTAAGTAAGTATTAAGTATTAAGTAAGTATTTTCGATAAGAACCACAATTTCTTCAACTTCTTTTCGTCTCTTTTTAATTTTCCATTTGATTTTCCAGCAAATTTTCTCTTTGGCCTCATTTATTTCGCGCCTAAATTGAAATAATCTATTGAAAAAAAATCAGAGCAATTTCCCACACCCCTAGCCTGGCTTTTCTTTTCGTTTTTCTTTCGATTTTTCGCTTTGACCTTCTGCCATTGTCAACTTCATGTTGATGGAGGTTGATACGTCACCGATCCCCCCCAGTACCGCTTAGCTTTGAGCTTTGAGTTTTCCTGTTTTTCCTTCAGCTTCAGCTGGGCAGCAACTAGTTCCCCTCTCTCTCTACATTTTCCAGAGCCGGCATTTTCCGGTTCTCACCTTGATTCATCATTGTTTCGTGTGTTCTGGCTTTGATATGCTTTCATTGCGAGATTTGCAAAGGTGGAAAAAAAGAGGGATCGTTAAGACCAAAAAGGGTATTTTCTTGGCTCTGCTTTTGACAAATCGTGCTGAAAATTCAATGGGTTTTCCCTTTTTCACCTTTCGTTTTTTGCATGCAGCAACTGGAAAGCAGCAGGAGATGAATAAGTTGAAAATAAGAGTGACAAAGTTAGGCATGTTGAGGCGAGAAAAGACTTGAGATGATAAAAAATAAATTTAAAAAACTACGGTTTATGAAAATTATGATTTTTTTAGGGAAATAAACAGGAAAATCTAGCAATTGGAAAAAGATTTTTAGCTAAACTAAAAAACTCATTGTTTAATTCTAGAAATAAATTTAAAAAAAATATTTCTTATATTTTATTGTGTTGTTTAAAGCTTTAAAATAAATATAAAAATTTAGTATTTATATTATATAAATAATAATATACCCAAATTTTCACAGTGAAAAACAGGTAAAGTGACTTTGAGGCGCCACATTTTCCTATTTAAATCTTTTTTTGCTATTCATATATTTTTTTTTAACTTAAAACAAATTCTTTTCTTATTCGTTTTTGCTAGTTCATTGTCTGTCTTTGTTTCCCGTTCTTCCTCGTCTTCTGTCTTTTGCCTTATTTCTACGGTCTTCCGTCTCTCTGGGTTTCTGTTATTTGGGTTAAATATCTTCTGGCCGACTTGAGTGAAAACTGTGTTAATGGGTGAAGTTTATATATATACTCTTATATATATATATATATATATATATATATATATATATATTTGCATACGACCAAATGTGTGTGCACGTATTTGCAATTTTTGCTGCCGCGTCTGCATTTGACCAAGAGTTTATGGCCAACGCAGCGAAAAACGTAGTGAAAGAGTAAATGTGCAACTATTAAAAGAAATGGTTTGGTTGAAAATTAAAAAAAAAAATAAATAGTACGAAAATTTACTAGGAAAAACAGACATACAAAATAGTTAAAAGAAAAAATAAGCAACAAAAACTAATAAAAAAAAAATATTTATATATTTTTTTATATTTAAAATCAGCATAAACATAAAATGTATAGATTTATTTTTAGCAGAAATTATTAGTATTTTTTAATAAAATAATTTAATGAAATTATGAAATTTTAGTGAAATAGACTATATAATATTAAAATATTATTCATTTTATTTTATATAATTTTATTTTATTAATTATATTATTAAAGCAAAATAAAAGCAAACTTTCTTAAGAAGCATTAAGCACTATTTTTAATATAATTTTGTAATATATACAAACCTAGTTTTAAGTACCTATCGAAATCGAAATT